CCGAAACTTGATAATTGACGGCCCTTTCACACCCGCGGGACATCACATCCGCTTGACGAATCACGCCAAGCCATGCAGATCGCGACTGCAGCGACAGCAGACATAATTCTTCTCCAAGGGTACCTTTCTACAGCGAAAGACTAGACTGGTCACAACATTACACTTTGTCAAACTCCTGCCCGCGTCTTGGCCTCGGATGAACACCTCCCCCCATGATCAATGTTCGGATCCTGCGGCTCTGCTCTGACAACGTCAGAGTTGAATCAGCCCTGCATCTCGTCATGACCCAACCTCGCACATTGCCTCTAACGGCACCGAATCGTTGCGGTCGAACCGACGTCAATCGCAAAACACAAAAACGTCAGGCGGTCTGTCTCTCTCGCGACGCCGAGTCGTCGCTGTCCTTTTCTGCGGTGAGCGTCGACGGCTAAGCTGACTCCTTTCTTACATCCTTCCCACATACTAACCTCGTCTCCTGGACCCAACGGGCATCGTACCGCCAAAAGAGGTAATATTCCCCTCCAAAAAGCCTCACCAGGTGGACGCGGCGCCATGGGTCACGAGACCCTACACCCCCCTCTTTAGGCCCGGAACTTTGAAATCAAGATAATGGGGATGAGGCGTCGCGATGGCTGGCTGACTGACTAGGCGTGCCAGCCAGCCCTCACGACAAGCTTCCTTGCCCACACTATTCGAGCTGCGGCCGGGCTGACACGTCGGGGATCGGTATCGGGTACCCTTCCCGTCAGACCCTGCCGCCGACGTAGGCAGCATCAGTCGGCATCACCGGGGAAACGAACAAAGGGTGTGTCATGATGATGGACTGTTTGTCATGTCCGGATTCTGCGTGAAAAACTTCGTTACGATTGCGCGGCACTCTTTGTCTCTCTATGTCTCCTTCCCCCCCTCCCTTCTCTCGCTTTCGAACCCCGCTAGGAATTACACAAGGTCTAGTCAGACAAAATACTTGCGCGCGCTTGGTGGCCTCTTCAAAGTGCTCTTCTTCTGCTCGCCTCAGCTCCGCTTCCGCACAACCATCCCACACTTCCCCCCTTTTCCCGTCAATCCTCAAAACGCCAGTTGGAAATGAAGAGAAGAAAACCCAAAGCGTAAAGCTTACTTTGCTTTGCTTGCCCTGCCCTGCCCTGCCCTGCGCTCCGCCCTGCCCTTGCTTGAGCGTAAAACACCAAATAGAAATCGACAGAAAATCCTGAACCCCTGTGCATTGAAGATATCTCCCCTTTTTGGAATTAAGCGGAAGAGACTCTCTGTAAAAAAAACATCACATGGACCGGGCGAGGCGGGCTCCATAGAGTCACATGGTAAATCTTACATCCAACCGCCGATTGCTCAGGATACGGCCGAAGTGATGTGCCTGTTCACCTGCCTTGGCGCCTGCTGGTAATCCAACAACCGGTGCCACTGGGACTAAATGCCAATGCCGATGCCGATGCCGCCCATTCCAACGTCCATGGGTTCGAGTCCTGAGCCATCGCCCGGCAGGTCGCGATCCTCCTCCATCATCTCGATGAGGTTATCCAGGTTCTCGTCCAGGTTCTCGGCGTCGGCAGGAGGCAGGCACTTGCGCAGCAATCGGCGGTACTTGTCAATGTTTTCACCCGTGCCCACCATGCTGAGCGCCTCGACATAGTCAGACTCGGACTGCCGCTGCTCCGAGAGCATGGCTTGCAGCTGCTTCGCCAGGGACAGACGGTCCTCGTACGAGGCTTCGTCGACGTCACCGTTCAGCTTGCTTATCTCTTGATCGACGGCCTGTTGCACGTGCAGACGGTTTTGGTGGGTGATGAGGGACATGACCTGGTGCTTGGCACGGTTGGCTTCGCTCATGATCTGCGCCGCGCCGTCGTCCGGCTCGAGCTGCGCCTCAAGCTCGGCGATCTGCTGTCGCACAGCGGCGATCTCGGCTTGCGTGTTGGAGAGGATGCGACGGGCTTCTTTTTCTGCCTGATCTTTTTCGCGGAGCTCCTCGTCGTAACTCCCTGCGAGGTCTTGGAACTTCTCCATGATGAGCGGCGTGATGCGCGCGTACACTGTGTTAGCCGCCTCCGAGCTGAATGACGAGAGGGCAAGCTTCTTGCTGGCCGTCATTCTTTCTGGCATGGTGTCGCGGAAGGAGACGTGGCGCTGGGAGTCGGGTGCGAAGGGCGACGAGGAACGCTGGGGGCCGCGCTCTTTCTTTGTGGCGTTGAGCTGGGCGATGAGATCTTCGGATCGTACGCCCTCGCTGTTGGGGATATTGGTTGACGCTTGGCGGCCGAGGAGTGCCCTGATGCATTTCCTTGCGTTGCGTTGCGCCGCGAGGTGGAGGGCGGTATTGCCTTGCTCATCTTGCGCGTCGATGAGCTGTTGGACATAGGCGGGATCGTGCGTTTCTTGCAGCTTGTTCAAGATGTTGTCGAGGTAATACCTCGAACACGAGTGGCTGACCACCCTGCCGTTCTTCATCACCGCGGCGTGGTGAATGACTGTGCTACCTGAAGCATCCCGGGCATCAACGGTATCGAAGAGTTCCTTCATGACCTGGGGAAAGGTTTGCTTCTCGTAGCAGTTGGTGAAATGCACCGCACGCATGAAAGGAGTCTCTCCCCTCACGTTCTGCACGCTCAAGCTGGCACCGAACCGACGGAGCTGCTTGATGACGTCCACATCACCCATAGCCGAAGCCCAGTGAAGCGCCGTGTGTTCCTCGGAATCAATGATCCAGTTGGGCTGAAAATTGGGTGGGGGCTCGGGGCGATATGCTGGCTTCTCATTTCTAGAGAGGAGGAAGTAATCGAGGAGCTCGTCTCCGTAGACGGAGTGCTGCTGCTGTGTTAGGTCTTGGATCGCCTCTTCCCTCTTCCTCTTTCTGTGGCCGGTGGACTGGTGGGATAGGTCGAAGCGGTCGTCCTCACCCATGTACGAGGCCGAGGCAACGGTGAGGTTGTCTGGGGTATCATCATCATTCATGACCGAGTCGCCGATATCGTACTCTTCTGCCGGCGGGGGTGCGGCTTGCGCCGAGTTAGCGGGGGGCTGGACTTGTGGTGGTAATTGCTGCTGGTGCTGTTGCTGGATGTTCGTACCGGGCCATTTGGGCACTGCGGGTTTCTTTGGTGCCTTTGGTTTACTTGTGTGCCGGGGAGCCGGCGGCGGGCTCTGGTCGCCCGGGGTGTATTCGAAGATGAGCCGCAGACGGTCATAGATGTTGTTACGCTGGGCGAGTGCGACGCCCTTGTCGAGGGGGATCCATGTGCCCTGGTACTTTCCGTATCCGCCCTGGATCTTCTCGTGCTTCTCCTTCTGTACCTCGCGCTCGAGAATGCGTGTTCGTGCGGGCTTATCAAAGCCAGCGGCCTTTAGAATGTGTGTAGCGTTGATCCAATCATCTTGCCGCCGTCGCATGACATGTTCCTTGAGGTCATCTCCGAATTGGAACTCGTAGACGGGGATCTAGATGCACGACGGGTTAGCATATACGGTGCTAATTGAAACAGAGCTGGCCAATGCGTCACTGGACATGCTTGATTTCGACATTGACACCGAGGCTATCCCCTTCCATGGGGGACCATTTTAAGCGCCCAGCCTGGCGAGGCGGCTCGGGGTGATAGGACGAGAACCCCATCAGGCCCGGACAATAGATATCTTTACAACCCAAGAGATATGGACTCACACCACTGTAGGTGGCACTGTAGATGCCGGGCTGCGCATTGCCCTTGACCATCGTCACCAGCCTGGAGCAAGGGACAGGCCCTGCCGACTCGTCGCAAACTGGTCAAGAGACAGATTGGGCACAGATCGTTTCGGCCGGCGGCAAGGAGAACCGACGAGATGGCGGTCGATTGCAGGAGGTCGCTCGGAGTTTTCGTCTTTTTGGTGTGGCGCAAGGCACGTTGTTGGGCGAGAGGGGGTCGTCGGTGAGGCTTGTAGCTGAGGATCGGCTTCACGGAAGATTTCACCAGATTGAGTGGATGCACTTTGGGTGATGGAAGTGGCACGTCGGTGACGCGAGACGCGCTCCTTGGATTACCTTACGCGCGCAGAGGACCAGACACTTAAGCAGCGCGAAAGAAGAAGTGGCCCGAGCGTCAGCACTACCGGTAGGTAGCCAGCCAGTGGGACGGACACCTTCCTCCTGATGGCAGGTCACGTGCCGTCTAGTCTCTGTCCGTCAAGGGTTTGTTTGTTCATCATGTTCCCGTTCCATTACCAGGTCTTGCGAGAGTAAGTACCCAGTACTTAGATGCAAGTATCCCTAGGTAGGTATTCAAAGAACAGGACACGTCCAATATAGACATGCATACAAAACGCTTGTCAAGCCATATATATATATATATATATATATATACATAAGCCATTCAGAGTCATCTTTGTTCCATGGATAGTTGCACAAGGCGGCTTCGTACTAAATCGCCGTGACAACTGACTGGCGCATACATACAGGAGTTAGGGTTTAGTAGTCAACGTTGATTCCAATAAAGCAAGACTTCACCTTTTGACAATAGGGAGCCTTTGACAAGAGGGAGCCTTTGACAAAAGGGAGGTTCCCAACGCTCCAGCTTGTACCTTGTCGGCCCATTCCAACTCCAATCCAATCCATCCGGGGAGGAGAGAATACTATTGGCAGCCTCCAGTCCTGAATAATAGGAAGCTCTTATGCATCAGTAATCCTCCCATCTCGGTGACGTCTTGAGTTGTCGCATGTGTCCTTGCCCCGCAAAGATGGTGGGGTTTCATCTTCCTTTGCTACCCACTACGAGCACGTCCCTCTGGAAGTCTATCTGATCACGACATCACTTTCGGACCCAAGACGCTTGTAGCTCCGATCACATCGAACTGGAGCAAAAGGCCTCATACATAAACAACATCCAAGATCTATCCCCTTGGAAAAGCTCAGAAGCTTTGTGTCTTTGTCTGGTAGACAACTCTCCGATCCTTAGACTCCTCCCCGCCTTTTTATCCGTATTGTCCATCCTACTCAAGGGTCCCCAGCAATCATCATGCCTCTCGTCGCCTCAACCCCCAAGGACCGCGTTATCCTGGGTCTTATGACCTTCGGACCCAAGGAGTCTGACGGCGCCCGAATCACCGATCTGGAGACCTTCAACCAGGCTCTCGACGTCTTCCAGAGCCGTGGCTACAACGAGGTCGACACTGCCCGCGTCTACGTCGGTAGACAGCAGGAAGCCTTCACCCGTGAGGCCAAGTGGAAGGAGAGAGGGTTGACGCTGGCCACCAAGGTCCAATATCCCGGACAGGCTGGCGACCATGCCGCGGCCAAGGTTTTCGAGTCGGTGGAGACGAGCTTGAAGGAGCTGGGTACCGACTGTGTTGATGTGAGTCGATATCGTGCCGTGCCGTTATCTCCGAAGAGACGAGTTGACGAAATCACCTAGATTCTCTACCTTCATGCTCCGGTATGAGTTGCCCTCATCCGTCATGACCAAGGCCGGCGCCGATTGGACAACTAACACTGGCTTGTAGGACCGTGCCACGCCGTTTGCCGAGACACTCGAAGCTCTGGACAAGCTCCACAAGCAAGGCAAGTTCGTCAGGCTGGGCCTGAGCAACTTCACTGCGTTTGAGGTGGCGGAGGTGGTCTTGACGTGCAAGTACAACGGATGGGTTCGGCCGACGGTGTACCAGGGCATGTACAACGTCATTACCCGCAGCCTGGAGTCTGAGCTGATCCCGGCGCTGCGACGTTACGGGCTGGACCTTGTCGTGTACAACCCGATCGCGGGCGGGCTATTCTCGGGCAAGATCAAATCCAAGGATATGGTGCCGACCGAGGGCCGGTTCTCGGACCACAACGGCACGGGGGGTAACTACCGGAGGCGGTACTTCCGCGAGAGCACGTTCAGGGCGCTGCAAACGATTGAGGCGGCGGTAGAGAAGAACGGGCTCAGCATGATCGAGACGGCGCTGCGATGGACGGTGCACCACTCGGCGCTCAAGATCAAGGATGGCAACGACGGCATCATCATTGGCATCTCGAGCGTGCAGCAGCTCGAGAACAACCTCGACCACCTCGAAAAGGGCCCGCTGCCCGAGGAGGTTGTCCAGGCGCTCGATCAGGCGTGGGCCATCTCCAAGGCGGACACGGCCAACTACTGGCACCTGGATCTCGAGTACAAGTACGATACCCGGGATGCGCTGTTCGGGGCAGGGGCCAAGTGATGGATGATGATGAAGTGGAGTGCGAATAACCGTAGATAGGCAGGCAGGGCAGGCAATAACAGACAGACTGACTGACTGACAGCCGGCAATGGCGGTGTTACAGTTGTGGACAAATAAATGGCCCTATCACATGTCCGAATTGGCGCACGCGAAGGGCACCTAACTACTTTGTAGTCGGTCCCTACTGCGATGCGCGGCGCGAGATATGTGTGACGTGACTGAGAGAGTGTGAGAGAGCGTGTGTGTGTGAGAGTGTGGGTGTGAGTGTGAGTGTGAGTGCGAGTGTGTGTGTGTGTGTGCCAATGAGAGAGTGTGTGGCAGCGGGCCAATGCCAGTCATGCGACTGCATGCGTGATGGCGTAGAATGGGGGTCGAACGAGGCCCTCTGCTGTACCATGGCAGCGGTCTACAAGGATAACCGGGCACACTAGTCTAAGACATGGGCGGACTGGCGACCGACTTCACAGCGTGAAGGTTTTTATCAGATGCAGGCGCAGGTGACTGGGCTTGTCGCGCGTCGCTCACGAGGGCAACTTGTGACAGATGCGGTATCTACGTTAGTCATCGGCGCGGAGCCGTAACGCTACATGGTATATCACAGTTGGGACAGGTGTCGGCTGGTGCTCTTGCGGTCTGGCATCTCAAGGATGGACCTGGCAGGCTTTACTTCTGGTCAGGGCGGTAGGGACAGATGCACACACGCAAGACGACGGATGATGATTGGTACGGATACTTGGGTGAGGTTAGATTGGGAAGGGCTGTATTAGCGTGTTTGTCCAAGTAGCGTAGGTATATCCGTACAGGGTACTCCGTACAGAGTGTACAGATATGTGAGGTAGGTACCGGTAGGTGTGTGGTACGTACAGAACCTTGAGACGGTGTTGTGTGTGCCTCGCTGGATATCAGAGAGTGGGGGGGGGAAGACCCTTCCGCGAGAACCGCCCATGCCTATAGTCTGTGCCAACTTCCAAGTGAGGCAGCAAGTGATGTCTCGGCGTAGAGGAAGGGGGGCATGGCATGGCATGGCCTATCCATCCGTCCGAAGGCGTTTAAACCCTTCCCTGAGATGAACAGGCAACAAGGGCTGAACGGGGGGGGGGTTGTGTGTCTGTCTGTCTCGTGCAAGTCCCTCATCGCGGACCCGGACGCCAACATGTACACATCGGGTACTTTTTTATTATTATTCTTTTGCTCCGTGTTCAACGCGGACTCTTAGTAGTGTCCAGCTCAATGTGGGAATTCGCATCTTTCGAGTCCCGAGTCCACGTCCACGTCCACGTCCAGCGTCCCCGTCTGCATGCAAGTCTACGTCAGGTTTAAACTACCTAGGGACCTACCTACCCACCCACCTACCTACCTGTAGGTAGTAGTACCCACCTAGATATCTAGGTAGGCATGTACCTGTTTGATAAGGTACCCAGCTACTCCGTAGTGTGCATGTACTTGTAGTTCCACAGTTCCACTCCCCCCAAAAAGAGACACCAACGCATCTCTTGCAGCAATCTCGACTCGACTCGCATCCTATTCCCTTCCTTTCCCTTTTTCCTTACTCGACTCTCCTCCTTGCAGCGCATCTCTTGCAGCAATTGGGTTTCCGATTCCAAGTCACTCCTTCTTGTCTAGTCCCTTTTTTCTCTCTACACCTCTTTCTTATCTCTCGCCGTTATCTTTTCTCCCACCCTCCCTCTCCCTCTCTCTCTTTCCCTTCTGACGCTCCTTTGGCACATCCCTTCTTATGCCTCCCAGACTCAACGCAGGGCCGGACGGAACCCTCAACCTTCCCCATCTGCGCCGACTCGAGCAGTTTCAGAACCCTCCTCTGAGCGCCACTACATGCGATTCCAACATCTCGGACTACATCGGTAGTGGAGCCAGTAGTCCTGCACGCACCCCCGGGCTCGACGAGCGCCTGGCCGAGTTTGATGCATTGCGCAACGGCAACGACCACTACTTAGAGCACGACAAAGACGCCGACTACGACTACGACGACGACGACGACGACGACGACGACTACCAAGACAACCACGATATGGACAACCGCCCACCCCTCCTCCGAAACGCCCACTCTCGCTCCGGCCAGCCTTTACTCAACCCCAAGGTCCTTGATGGCGATGACGACCACCGCGGCAGGAGTTATTCAACTCGTTCTCGAGGAGCCAGCCCCTTGCTGACCCCGAGCCGACCGACCTTCTCTCGAGGTTCCACCATGCGAAACCACTCTCCCTCCACCGTCAAGGCCAACGCGAGGAGGAAGTATATATACGCCGCCTTCTTTCTCGTCCTGAGCCTCGTCTCCTTCGTCATCCAAACCGAGCTGTCTGCATACATCCAGCAGGAGCTGCACTGGGACAAGGCATACTGCATGCTCTACTTGACCCATGGCTCCTGGGTCATACTCTGGCCGATCCAGCTACTCATCTTGCGCATCAACAAGCGCAAGACCTCGTGGCCCTCGTTCTGGCGCCGCCATCGTGACCTGGTGCACACCACCGCCATCATGGTCCAGAAGCAGGACCTCGACCTGTCGCGTCACCCCGCCCACCCTCGCTCCTCGCCGTGGTTCTATCTCGTCCGCACCACCGCCTTCATCACCTGCGCCCTGACCGTTGGCGGCCTGAGTTGGTACGTCGCCGTCAACATGACCACTCCGTCCGATCTGACAGCCATCTACAACTGCTCGGCCTTCTTCGCCTACGTCTTTTCCGTTCCCTTGCTCAAGGAGCCCCTGCGCATGGACAAGTCCCTCGCCGTTCTCGTCGCCATTGCCGGCGTCCTCGTTGTCGCATACGGTGACAGTAGCCCTACCGATGACGATGCCGCCCACAAGCAAGCTGCCGGCGAGCGGCTGACGGGCAATCTGGTCATTGGCGTCGGCTCCGTCCTCTACGGCCTGTACGAAGTCCTCTACAAGCGCTATGCTTGCCCCCCCGACGGCTGCTCGCCAGGCCGCGGCATGGTCTTCGCAAACACGTTTGGTTCCTGCATCGGCGCCTTCACCCTTACCGTGCTTTGGATCCCGCTGCCCATCTTGCACTGGACCGGTATCGAGTTGTTCGCCCTGCCGACTGGCTACACCGCCTTGATGCTCTTCTTCAGCGTCGTCATGAACGCCACTTTTGCCGGCAGCTTCCTGGTTCTCATCAGCTTGACGAGTCCTGTTTTGTCCAGCGTCGCCAGTCTGCTCACCATCTTCATCGTCGCCGTCACGGACTGGTTCCGCACCGGCGAGCCCCTCAGCGCTGCGGCTCTCATCGGCGGTCTCATGATCATGCTCGCCTTCGGCATGCTGAGCTGGAGCACCTGGCGCGAGATGACAGAAATTGAGGCGGCCAAGGCAGTCGACCTCACAGACAGTGGCGAGGATAGCGATAGTGATGAGCGTGTGCGTTGAGCTCCATCGCATTGCATACGTAGTAGTCTTGGCAAACATCAATGGCGTTCGGGAGGGGGGTCTGGCGATTACATCTGGTTTTTGTTTTCTTGTATTCAACACGGGCAATGGAATGGCATCATTACATCGGGGGCCGGTGGTGTTTTCTGGCATTGGATCGCAACAGCATGATCGCGACGGACCTCGAACCGTTACACACACAGCGGACGTCAGGAGGAAAGGCAATGGCCATCGCCATTGAGATGCAATCTTTTGATTTATTGCATATCCGACCTCGGCTCTATTCTTAACTGTTCACATGTTACCCCTTTTTTTTCTTTCCTTTGGTTGGTTTATTCTTGGGCATAGATGATTCTGGTTCAGGTTCATTGGGGACCCTTGTTTAGAAAAGCGGCGGGATCACGAGTCATCCACAGCTGCTAGATGGTAGTCTTTTTTTTCTTTTCTTTTTTCTTCCTCTCGGGCCAAGCCTTGAAATAGGATTGCGATTGCTGCTCTGCAGCACACAAGCCAAAAAAAAAAAACCAATGACTGACTTCTGCAACCATGTTCGCAGCCCATCAACTGGCCAACTGTTCTCTGGCCACGAGGTAAGTGGCATTATGGAGAGACTGCCGAGTTCGGTTGACTTGAAACAGGGGCGCTCAGCGATGAATCCGACCCGCCCCGAGACGGGGTCCACGTCCAAACCCCTGTATCATGGACGTAACCCCCCGGACAGGACCGACGGGCCAGTCACGATGCTCAGAAGCTGGCCGAGGTGATGGAGATGCTGGACATGCGAGATATAGATCTTCTTGACACCGCTTTGCTGCTTGGGGCGCAACCTCGCAGTATACCCACATGGTAAACTGAGCCGCAGATGGTACGTCAGTATCCGTAAGTCTGGGAGCCGCACAAGCAAATTGACCTCTCAACTCAATCGTGGGTTTGAGTTGAGATGAGCCTACGGTGAGTCAGATGCGCACATAGTAAAGGGGATAATATATGGTGTCAACTTTTGACAGGTCGCGGCATCTCATTAGCATTAGCGTCCACGTTGAAGGCCATGGAGAACTTGATGCTGTTTATTTGCCCTGAAGATTAAAATAGACCAAGTCTGTGTGATGTAGCTCTCCTCCCTTTAGTAAGGAAGGTTGGTTGGTGTAGTTATAATCGTAGGCGTCCATCTCTTTACGAGACATTCTGTCCATCCACAATAGCGTCAAAAGTTGCTTTGCTTTTGGGTTCACTGACCCGTGTCCACAAAGGGTGTGGGACTTGTTCTGCTCGACACCCGGCACGTCCCCTCCCCCTTTCTAATCACCGACCTAATTTTCGTTGCGCGCCCCGCCACTGAAACAGGTTCGACGTCCACACTTTGGAGCCTCAACCCCGTCGTCCGTCCTGCACACTCCCCCGCCCATCAACGAAACATCCAACAATGCTCGATCAGGCCCTCGAGACCATCGGCCTCGTCTGGGTCCTCTACTCGGCCTACCGCCTCTACGATGCCCTCGCCCTGTGGATACTCCCCGCGGTGCCGCTGACGCGGTACCAGAAGAACGGCCCCTTCGAGTCCTGGGCCCTCGTCACCGGCGCCTCGGCGGGCATCGGCCTGGGCTGCGCGCAGGAGCTCGCCCTGCGCGGCTTCAACGTCGTGCTGTGCGGCCACGACGTCGACGAGCTCGAGGACGCCCGCGCCCTCATCGAGTCCGAATGCCGCCTGCGCCGCCTCAAGGGCGACATCGCCGTGCGCCTCGTCGTCCTCGACGCCGCCGCCAGCTCCGCGCCGCAGGTGCAGGCCGCCGTCGACGGCCTCGCCGACCTCGACGTCACCGTGCTGGTCAACAACACGAGCGGCTTGCCGGCGCAGCAGCAGCAGCAGCAGCAGCAACTGCTGCGGGAGATGAGCGTCGACGACGTCGACGCGACCATCGACCTGAACGCGCGGTTCATGGCGCGCCTGACGCGGCTGATGGCGCCGGCCCTCGCGCGGAACGGGCCCTCGCTCGTGCTCAATGTCGGCTCCTCGACGACGACGGCGGCGGGGAGCGAGCCGGGCTCGGCCGTCTACTCGGCCGCCAAGGCCTTCGTCGCGTCCTTCAGCCGGGCGCTCGCGCGGGAGATGAAGGCCGAGGGCGCGTCTAGTCTTCGGCGGCATGATCCCCCCCGTGGACGGATCTCTCGCTTCGGCGTGTATACCTATTCGCGCGCGCTCGGATCGATCGGGCGTGCTGACACTCTAAATCGGCCTACGCTATAGTGTGATTAAGGTTGTGTCAAGT